GAACTGCTACAAGGCACTGATTGGCTGGGGTTAACTTGAATGGTTTTTTAGTTGGGGTTTACGCTAAAGGGCTGATTGATCGGGAGATGTATTTTTATTGTTTGAATTTTTTGTTTCTCGTTGATTGGCTGGTTAAAGGGTAGGGATTGAACTTCATTGGTCGACATGTTATTACTTCTTTCTAATTGGTCCGTTGCGTTAAATATTTGGGAGTTGAAAAATTGTGGTTGGTTGTAAAAGTGTTATAATTGATTGTTCATTAATATATATATATATATATATATATATATATATATATATATATATATGAAATGTTTACTATTAAAACGTTTATTTTTAAAATTTATTCTAAAACAAAAAAAATTTTTTGATATAATTCTATTTAACCACATATCAAATTCAAATCAAACAATGCCACATAATAAACTTGATTTTATGAAAATAATAATAATAGCAATCACAGAATAGTGATGATAATAGTAATAATAACAATAATAATAATAATAAATGTAGTCTTATTTTTAAGGGCTTTTCCAAATGATTATTATAAGCAGGCATGGTATTTTTTTTTCAGAAATAGACGTTTCATTTTTTTTTATTTGTTCACTTATTCGGTTGTTTTTTGCTCGTTCGTTCATTCATTCGTTTGTTCGTTCATTCGTTTGTTCGTTCGTTCGTTCATTCTTTCATTCATTCATTGATTCATACATTCATTTGTTCATTCGTATTTAAATAAATGTTAAATGTTTGTCAGCGATTAATCAATATTGAAAAAATTGTGATTTTAGCCTTCGTTGTTCTATGTATAATAATAATACTAATAATAATAATATTAGTAACAACAATAATAATAATAATAATCAATGATTTCTCTGTTGTTGTTGATATGATGTTGTTGTTACTGTTGTTATCGTTAATATGGCTGTTGTTGTTGTTGTATTTCATGATGATTATTGAGATTTGTGTTTGTTTAATTTTACCGTTTATACAAATTACTAACATATAATGATATATTATTATACTAAAACAGGGGTGGGCCAACTTTTGTTCTGAGGGCCACATTGAAAACTATTTTACCTTTGAAGGGCCGCATATGTACTTAAATAACAAATTTTTTTGACCCGGAGCAGAATTTTCTTAAGATTTGTTGCTCCTTTTTTTGGTCATAAAATCTGGCTGGAGACCTTTTTTTGGCTGGTGAACAAGGCCTTGCGGGCCGCATAAAACAGTTTCGCGGGCCACCCCTGTGGTAGTTCGGTGGTAGTTTGACCACCCCTGTATTAAAATAATCATATATTTTATAATAATAATCATTACTGTTGTTGTTATTGTTATAATTATTATTGTTACTTAGTCCAGGTCAATTCATTCTCCAATCATGGTTAAAACGGTGCTATGTCTAGTTTGCATAATTTGAATGAATGAAAGAATAAATGAATGAATGAATGAATGAATGAATGAATGAATGAATGAATGAATGAATGAATGAATGAATGAATAGATGAATGGATGAATGAACGAATGAATCTGTGAATAAACCATCCAATGAATGAATTGTGATTTAATTGTACTGTTATTTGATTCATATCTTTAATCTTTACGCAATACCATCAATTAAAATTGTGATTTGGACAGCTTCTCTCTCTCTCTCTCTCTCTCTCTCTCTCTCTCTCTCTCTCTCTCTCTAATTATATATGTATATACAAATCAATATTTAATTATGAATAAATTATTGAAATAAGATCAAATATATACCTATTAATTGTGTTTAGCAATGTCATCAAAATGTAATTCAGCGACTCTTCCAGCTGTTACCGTTACCGCGTTCGAACGCAAGCAGACCCCCGTCTATCACATGCAACGTATGTATGTATGTATGTGTATGTGTTTGTTTGTATGCGTGTCAGTGTTTGCGTGTGTGTGTGTGTGTGTGTATACATGTGTCTCACTCTGTGTGTATGTGTGTGTGTGTGTGTGTGTGTGTGTGTGTGTGTGTGTGTGTGTGTGTGTGTGGTCCACTTTGAAAATGAATGCATTGGCGGCGCAAATGAAAACCGCTTCTGACATAACTATAAGTTATGGCGGATATGAAAATGAAAAGGTGAATGAATGAATAAATGAAAAAAATCAATCAATGAATGGATAGACAGGTAGGTGGATGAATGGAAGAATGGATTGGTGAATGAATGGCTATATGGTTAATTGGATAGATAGGTTATTGACCGAAAAAATTAATGAATGGATGGATGGAATGGATTGGTAGAGGAACGAACAAAAGAACGAAAAAACCAATGAACTAACAAAAAAAATGAACAAATGAATGAACAAATGAATGAACAAATGAATTAATGAATAAATGATGGAGTGAATGTGGGCGTCGCAAATTTGATGCAAATATATGCGTGTATTGTTTGATGGCACGTTATTTACCGTACCCATAAGCGTATTAACATTAATGCGCTTGTTTCAATGGAGTTTTTGTCTAATCCTCATCTTCATCTTCACCATCGTCATCATCGTCATCATCATCATCATTTTCTTCATCATCATCTTCACCATCGTCATCATCATATCTTTATCATCATCATTTTCTTCATCTTCATCGTCATCGTCATCATCATCTTCACCATCGTCATCACCATCTTCATCACCATCATTTTCTTCATCATCATCTTCATCGTCATCTTCATCTTCACCATCGTCATCATCATATTTTTATCATCATCATTTTCTTCATCTTCATCGTCATCGTCATCATCATCTTCACCATCGTCATCATCATCTTTATCATTATTATTTTCTTCATCATCATCTTCATCGTCATCATCATCTTCACCATCATCATCATCATATCTTTATCATCATCATTTTCTTCATCTTCATCGTCATCGTCATCTTCACCATCGTCACCATCATATCTTTATCATCATCATTTTCTTCATCTTCATCGTCATCATCATCATAATCATAACATATGCGCCGCTTCCAACGAAAAATCAATATTACAGTTAATTGATCAAATGATCATTAGTGCCGTTGGCACCATCATTATCATAATCACCACCGTCACCATCATCATCTTCAACATCCTCATCATCTTCATCATTTTCTTCTTCTTCTTCATCATCTGCTTTACCATCATCAGCATCATCATCTACAACATCATCATCATCGTCATTGTCATCATTGTTATCGTCATCATCTACAGCATCTTCATCATCTTCAACATCATCGTCATCATCATCATCTTTATCATCATCATCATCTACAACATCATCATCATCATCATCTACATCATCATCGTCGTCATCATCGTCATCATCATCATCTACATCATCATCGTCATCATCATCGTCATCATCATCATTATCGTCATCTTATATAACTTGCATTAGAGAGGTCTGTACCCAGTTTTTTTTGCCCCCACGTTAAACAACGAAACGCTGCGTGGCCAATGTTACAAATATGACGGAATCGATAATGTTCCTCTCACTTTCTTTCCCTCTCTCTCTTTCTCTCTAACTCTCTGTGTTTTTTTCATATCATACTTTTTTTTTCTTTATTTCTCTCTATCTCTTTTTCCTTCTTTGCATTTTTATGCTTCTTTATTTCATTTTTTTATAACACTTCCTCGTTTCATCTCTTTCTTATTTTCACTATCTCACATTTTCCCAGATGTCTCTCTCCATCTTTCTCTCCATTTTTTTTCCTTTTTCACTCTCTCTCTCTTCTCTCTCTCTCTCTCTGTTTTTCTATTTATAATTTTTTCCAGTCTCATCCATTCACTTTCTCTCCTTCCTTCATATCACTCTCTGTACTATTTTCTTTCTTGTTTTGGTCTTTCTTTCTCTCCCTCTTGTTCTCTTTCTCTCTCTCTTTCTCTCTCTCTTTCTCTCTCTCTCTCTCGTTATTTTTTGTCTAACATCTTTTCATTATTTCTAGCTCACCGGCAAGACCAACAAAGTGCAATCGAATGAAAAGAATTTTTCCAAAATTTAATTTTTTATAAAAACTAAAAGTATAATAATAATAATAAAAATAATATAAATAATAATAACGATAATAATAATAATAATAATAAATTCTGATAAGCTTTTGTAATAATCATTACAAGTCTTTAGTCAAGATTTGAAATATAGATGGAGTCAAAAATATAGACGAACTTTGATCATAATTATTATTTTTATTCATAATTATTATTATTTTTAATGTTATTATTGTGGTTTTTGTTTTTCTAGGCATCCTTTTGAGACCAACCGTTGAATAACATTTGCTCACCATTTAAGAAGAATTCAAATTCGAAGGCGAAATTTTAGAAAAAAACTAATACTACTACCACTACCACTACTACTACTACTACTACCACCACCACTACTACTACTACTACCACTACAACAACAACAACTACTACTACTACTATTAGAAATAGTAGTAGTAGTAGTAGGAGTAGTACTATTGCTGCAAGTACTACCACAACGGCCACTGCTGTCACAACTTCTGCCACTGCTAGCTACTACGTATAATTATAACAATAATAACAATAATACAGCAACATCAATAATAATAATAATTACAATAATAATAAGATAAATAATAAACAAGACCAGATAATAATTTTCAATTCGCAAGAATAATACTTTGATGTGCAGCAATGAGGTGAGAGATTCTGAAATGAATCTTTATGAAGACTTTTTGGAATGATAAAAAAACAACAACAATAATAATTATTATTATATATAATTATTATTATTTTTATAATAATTATTATAACAATAATTATAATCATAATAATTATGATTACAATAATAATGATGACGACGATGATGATGAACATACGGTAGAATGAATTGATGTAACAATAAAAGATATTGATTAAACTGAATAATTATTTATCTCAAATTAATAGACAAACACCAAAAATTTATTCAAAAACAAAAAATAAAAATTCGTTTCAGTGTTAAAAAAAACTTGATTTGTAAACAAAACCAGCGTAGAGCCACAAAACTACAAAAAAAATCGTTGTACGTACGTATGTTTGTTTGTTTATTTGCATGTATGCATGCATGTATGTATGTATGTATGTATGTATGTATGTATGTATGTATGTATGTATGTTTGTTTGTTTGTTTGTTTGCATGTATGTTTGTTTGTATGAAATACCAAATAATCACGATCCGCATCTGAGAAGTGGAGCAAAAATGTAATAAGATGAGATATATGATTACTGGAATGGCGCAAAAATATGTATTAAGTTACTCGATATATATATATATATGTGTGTGTGTGTGTGTGTGTGTGTCTGTGTGTGTGTATGTCTGTGTTGTGTTCTGGCCCTTTAAATACTCACGAAAATGTGTGGATTCAAGTCTATTCACTTATATATATATATATATATATATATATATATATAATTTTTGTTTTTTTTATAAGATAATATTAAAAAATAAATTGGTCTTATTTNATAAAGCGCTGTTCAAGTTGAATTNATTTTTGTGCATCTATGTGTGTGTGTGTGTGTGTGTGCGTGTGTGTGTGCGTCCGTGTGTGTGTGTGTGTGTTTATATGTGTGTACGACTTCATTCTATGCATTTTAATAGTTTAATATATTTATAAACAGTGAATTTAAGACTTAAGCAATTTAAACGAATACATTACACATGCGTACACGGATATACACACACACACACACCACACACACACCACACACACACCACACACGCATTCACATACACATACACGCACGCACACGCGCGGATATGTATAAACTTACTCACGATAATAAATGATGGAATGTGTATCTTAGTTTATAACAATTCTTTCCATGGTTTTTGCTAATGCTGTTGTTATTGATGCGAATTTTGGTTATCGTTCATGTTATTATGTTTATTATTGTTGTTGCTGTTGCTGCTTTAACTATAACTTTTTCAGTTTAGTCTTTCTAAAACTGTAATGGACACATTTTTTGTTATCTTGAATAAAAATCCAACCAAAAACTATGAATAATTTGGATAAAAAGCCCGCCAAAATGTTATTTCTAAAATTAGCTTCAACCACGTTTCACAGGGCACCAAAACGCTATAGAAACATTTAATTAAATAATTTTAATCACAGCGAAATTGCAACTTTTTTAATATTCCAAAATAGTTTTTTTTTCTCAAAACTTTTCGCTAGATACAAAAATATAAGATCAAAATAAACACGTCAAAATACTTGAAATACGCACTTTTATACCCTACCTACACGCCTCTACAGCCAACTTATGTTTTAGACTTTTAAATAGTAGCTCTGGAAATATCAATCCTTGATTTTCTTCAAACGGACAGGCTTTGATTCTTCAATATACCAAAAATACACACAAATTTACTAGAAATGAACCCAAATGAACCAGAAGTATACACACATACCCAAAATACACAGAATTGTATCCAAAATACACATAACAGTATTCAAAATACACATAAATATACCCAAAATACACATAATTGTATTCAAAATACTCATAAATAATACCCAAAATACAAACAAATGTACGAGAAATACACGCAGTCGTATCCGAATTACTCAAACTTCGATAGTTGTTCTAGATTTTAAGGAGCCTTTGAGGGTACCTATTCTTGATTTTCTTAAAGAGAGCAATTCTGATCTCTCTGTTACTAGCATACGTCTTATGCGTCTGAAGAATCTGGTGAAAATATTGACAGAATTATTATTAGTAATTATGATCAAAATTATGATAATATAGATAAAAATAATAATGGTGTATTTTATTTTAAAGGAGTGATCTATCTATCTATCGAATGACCTGAGAAGGTGTTAATTAGATGATAAATAATAATTTATCAAGCAGTGGAAGTATTAATAGTAAGAGACTAATCACAAAAACTATAATCAAGTCAATTAACCAGTCAACTAACAACAAGTCAACCAACAACCAGCCAACCAACAACCAACCAACCAACTAACCAACCAACCAACCAATCAACCAACCAACCAACCAATCAGCCAACCAACAACCAACTAGCCAACCGATCAACCAACCAACCAGCTAACCAAGCGACCCATCAACAAACCAACCTACTGGTTTTCAGAGCATTTATATACCTCGGATGACTCAAAGCGTAAATAATGGGGTTCCAAATAGCAGAAGATTTAGCTAGCATGACTGGAATTTCAGCCATGTAAGGATTGACCAGATCTTGAAAACCACTAATAGCTATCTGGGTGACTATAGCGTAGGGCATCCAGCACACGCAAAAGCTAACTACGCAGCAAGCTAAGACTCTAGTTATTTGAATCTCTTGCCTGAAGTTTCTAATTTGGGAGGAGTGGCTCGATCTGAGAGATGTGAATGAGTTGAATGACGACGGGTTGTTGTTGTTGTTGTTGTTGTTGTATGTTGTCGATTGACTGTTGTTGGTGGTGGTGAGGCTGATGAAGCGTTTGAATTTGATATTTTTGCGGTGTTGCTGCTGTTGCTGCTGCTGACGTAGTAGTTGTTGTTGCTGTCGGTTTTGTTGTTGGGTTCTGGAGTGGCAAGAACAAGGGCAAAACATTTCCGAAGATTTGAAATTGTTGTTGTTGCTGTTGCTGCTGCGATTGATGTGTTGGCTGTGGCTTTTGCAGTTTATGTTGCTACAAATGTTTTTGTTGTTGTTTTTATTTTTGTTGTTGTTTCCAATTTTGTTGTCTTTGAAGCCAAAATTGTGCATTCTAATCGAATTAAATTTTTTCCCTTTGTTGTTGTTACTACTACTATTACTACCACCACTATTACTATTATTGTTGTCATTATTATTACTACTACTATTACTATTATTATTATTATTATTGTTATTGTTGTTGTTGCTGTTGTTGTTGATATTGTTGTTAATTGTTGTCACTACACTCATGCTCCTATGGAAGTTTCGCGAATTTTTCTTAAAAATGTTGACGTTATATTTACGCCGTTGTTGCCTGATGTTAATGTTACTATTATTATTGTTATTATTATTGTTGTTGTTGTTGTTGTTGTTGTCGTCGTTGTCAATTAAACTGTAGTGTCTGCTTTGGTAGAAGTGTTTGCGTGTTGAAGCGAGCGGATGCTGAACACAGCACATTATGCACGGGTAGTAGTAGTAGTTGTAGCAGCAGCAACAACAGCCTCCGCCGACGCCACTACTGTTGCTGCTGCTGTTGTTGTTGTCGCTGGCCTGGCTCGTGGTGTTTATATTGATGTTTATACTTGGATCGCTTCGATAGATATTTTTGATGTTATTATTATTATTGTTGTTATTATTATTATTGTTGTTGTTGTTGTTATGAAAACTTATCACGTTATTATTGTTGTTGTTGTTGTTTTTATTATTTCTATTATTACGAAGATTTTTAAATTTGAAAATATTTTTAAATTTTACCTCCTGTCGCTTCGAAGCTAGATTTATTATGTCTGTATCCAACTCAACGTTAATATTATTGTTATCATTATTATTGTTATTATTATTACTGTTATTATTATTAGTATTATTATTATTACGCCTTATATTATAGGCGGCGTTTGAGTCGTTAGTCTCCTTATAGCAGTCTTCAATGTACTGATTGTCAGCCCTGTTGTTGTACCTGTTGAACCTCTTGACGTAGCACTGCTGCTCCTTGGGTCTGCCACATCTCATGACCTCCCGAACGATGCCAACGTAACATAGGACGATGATGAACAGTGGGACGACGAACGCGAACGAAATCAGACTATAGTTAAAAGATATATTAGCCCATGTTCTGGTTAGGTAATCGAAGGTGCAGCTAACCCCAAAACCCTCCATGATATAGTCGCCCCATCCAAACAGAGGGGGCATAGCCCAGATTACGGCCCAGCCCCATATTACGATCATGTTGAAGAGGACTCTCTTGAATGAGGATTTGTCCAGCATGAAAAATGGATGCGTGATGACAAGATAGCGGTCGATACTGATGGCTGTTAGGCAGTTTATGGAGGCGAGGCCAGTGGCAGCGCAGAGGAAGGCGTACCATTTGCAGCCTGTTTGTGTGTCATCATGTGTGTGTGTGTGTGTGTGTGTGTGTGTGTGTGTGTGTGTGTAAGAGAGAGAATGTGTGAAAATGTGTGTGTGAAAATATTATTTATATTAACAACAACAACAATAATAAAAATTATTATTATATATAATTATTATTATCCTTATATTAATTATTATAACAATAATTATAATCATAATAATTATGATTACAATTTAAATTAAAGTTATTTTCTATGAATAGATTTCTTTTCTTGTTCATTTCTTTTTATAAATTGGACGTCAAACGGAATTTTTAAAAATTTTGAAAAAATATAAAAACAAAAAAAAAATCAAAGTGTATGTAGTTTTTCAATTTTGCTAAGTGAAGTACATCCGGTTTTGAAATTCGAATCATGTTGAAATGAAGGCGAAGTAAAAGCATAGAATATATAATATGTGCTGCAAAAAAGATTGCTCTAAAGATGTTTTTTAGCCTACGCATTAAGTGTAGGTATGTTTGTATGTTTGTTTGTTTGTATGTATGTATGTATGTATGTATGTATGTATGTATGTATGTATGTATGTATGTATGTATGTATGTATGTATGTATGTATGTATGTATGTATGCATGTATGTATGTATGCATAGATAGTTTAATAGTATGGGCGTCTTCTCCTACAACTACTACTACTACTACTACTACTTCTACTACTACTACTTTTATACTGCTGCTACTACTACTACTACTACTACCACCACCACTACTCCTACTACTACTACTACTACCCCCACCATCTCTACCACTACTACTACTACTACTAAAAATCAAGAATAATAAAAGACAGATGTTGATCAAAAAAAGTTTAAAAAAAAATGAATGAATTGTTTTGCAAAGTGAATCTGATCACAGAATGAAACGTATCATTTTCAGTCATTATGCAGATCTAGACAATTTAATTGTCTCACGAAGTCTGTGATTTCTGTCGGCACAACTATTACTATTACTACTACTACTACTACTACTACTACTTCTACTACTACTGCTGCTGCTTCTACTGCTACTACTGCTGCTATTGTGACGACGACGACGACGACTACTGCTGTTACTACTGCTTCTATTGTGACTACAATTTTCATTATTATTCGTTCTTTAACTTACTAAAAACCTTCACTTCAAGTGCTGCTACTACAACTACTTCTACTGCTACTGCAACGATGATTACCGCTGCTGGCTACTGCTACTTCGACTTCTACTACAACTGCCGTGTGCGTGTGTTTGTGGTAGTTTGAAAAATTAAATTGGAAAATATCTTTCGTATGCGTTTAATGAACTTGCCGTGTCTTCGTCAATCGACTTTTATAGGTATAAAATTTTATTTTTTTAGGCATTTTTATCTGGTTATTCATTCCTTTATGTGCGTGTTCATTCATTCATTCATTCACTCATTCACTAATTCATTTATTTACTCATAAATTAATTAACTAGTTGATTAATTAATTAATTCATTCATTCATTCACACACATATTCAATATTGCCAATGGCCATTGTGCGTTATCTTCAGTATCGTTATCTTATAAAATCATACCAGACGCCATAATGATTCCTGATATCGTTATAACAACGAGACGTCTCGAAACGCAAAAAATATATGTATGTATGTATTTGTGTAGTGTTTGCAGGTATGTGTATGTATGTGTGTGTCTATGTGTGTATGTATGTATGTTTTTTTGTTTGTATGTATGTATGTTTGTTTATTTGTATGCATGTAATTTCGTTTGTTTGTTTGTATGCTTGTATGCATTTATGTATGTATGTATGTAGGTATGTATGTATGTACGTAGGTTGTTGTTGTACGTAGGTATGTATGTTTGTTCGTTTGTATGTTTGTATGTTTTTAGTTGGTTTTGTTTTTATGTCTCCACAGCTCATTAAACGAAGTCCAGAAAATGATTTATAATTCATACTTTTTGAAGTCAGCTCACATTGATGTATTGTTTCAAAATGAGTCGCCATAAATATAATAAGTAGCATCGTTAATATAGATACGTTGATGTGTGTGTACGTGTGTGTGTGTGTGTGTGTGTGTGTGTGTGTGTATGTGTGTGTGTAAGTGTATATTGTTATGTGTATGTAATGTGTATGTGTGTATATATGTGAGTCTGAGTGTATTTGTGTGAGTCTGTGGTCTGTGTGTATATGTGTGAGTTTGAGCGAATACATGTTTCTCACTGTGTGTGTGTTGTGTGTGTGTGTGTGTGTGGTGTGTGTGTGTAACACTTTGTGTGTAATTCTCTTTGATTTGTTTTGTTTACGTAGGCAGTATTTCCTGTTAAAAGTCCGGTTATAATAATAATAATAAAAACAACAACAACAACAACAACAACAACAACAACAATAATAATAATAATAATGACTTTAATAATAACAATAATAGTAAAAATAATTTAACAACAACAACAACGAAACCAACAAGGAAACTTAGAAAAAGAAATGATCATCGTTGGCTCATAAGTCATAATTCATTACTTTAGTTTTCGGGTGCAAATTTTGGAGTCAAAAATATTCTCTTTCTCTTTCTCTCTCTCTCTCTCTCTCTCTCTCTCCTTGCCCCCAAAGGTGGTGTTGAATAATTTTGCAGCAGTTAACTTTTCACTTTTACTTTTCTTCTTAGTTTTGTAAATTAGTGGATGGATTGATGGAGAGATGAATGAATGAAAAAGAATATTTATAATAAAACTGAAATACTTGAAAACAATTTTAGCAGAAAATTATACCAAAAAATATAAATCTTGATTAAAGAAATAAATTTTAGTTATATAAACAGACGAAAAACGAAACAAAATGACTCTCAAAAAACTCCCCAGCGAATTTATTCTTTTGTTCGTGTATGACAGTAACACACACACACTTAAACTCGCACACACCCACACACACACACACACACACACACACATTTATACACACATTTACACACACACACATAGATACTTACATAAAAACATACATACATACACCAATATATATATATATATATATATATATATATATATATATATATATATCAATTGTACACATCATTTTGGCGCGCTTTTAAATCACTTAAACATCGAGTTTTGTATATGTTTATATGGGCTGAAGAGTTATTAAACCATTCAATGTGAAAAATAATAATTATACATAACATAAGCAATAAGTATGTGGGCCTTAGAAGAGAGAGAAAGAGAGAAAAGAGAGAAAGAGAGAAAAGAGAGAAAGAGGGAGAAAGAGAGAACACAAATAGAGAGAAAGAGAGAAAAGTCGGAAAAGAGGAAAATAAAAAGGGGATGGGATGTAATATCGTCAAACTGGTTGGTTCAACTTATTGCGTATGTCTATTTTTAGTTTGCAGACATGGTGTCTAGTGTTTACTAATGACGAACGCGTGAACATACAAATCAACAAACGAACGAACGAACGAACGAACAAACAGGCAGCAAGACAGACAGGCAAATAGACAGAAAGAAGACAAACATAGGACCAAACTTATATTTTAGGGAAATTAAATTGAAAAATTTAAGAGAGGTGAAAGATGATAAGTTGAACTTGATCCACGTTAAAATAACATTAAGAGGAAAATTATTTTTTCGTTAAAATTTTGTCTTTTTTGCAGAAATAACTTTTCAAAAAAGTTAGCTTTTAAACATTTTGGCGTAAAACATTTTTAGTTTTTTGTTTTGTTATTAATAAACAAACAAACAAACATACATACAAATAAACAAACAAACAAACAAATGAAAACTATTTTTCCGTCATCATAAATTTTTGGCGTCTATTAATATTTCATATTTTCCATTATTTGTCTGTCCGTTTTGTTACTGTTATAAAACGAACGAATAATCGCGCAAACCAACAAACAAACCAACCAACAAACAAACAAACCAACAAACAAACCAACAAACAAACAAACAAACAACCAGCCATAAACAACTACGCCATGGTAATCATTGATCACCAAGGAACAAGAAACATTTCAACCACTAACAACATTTATCTTAAACTTTAACATTGTATACGCACACACAGACATACACACACAGACAGACAGACACACACACACGCGCGCGTAGACACACAAACACACACACAAACTTTGATTTGTCGCCAGAGATAAGCAGCATAAACAAATGACAAAAGCGTTAACGCAGCCAGTTTGAGAGTTATTAGCATTGGTGGTCGGTAATAGCAGTAGTAGTAGAAGCAGTAGTAGTAGTAGTAGTAGTAGTAGTAGTAGTAGTAGTAGTAGTAGTAGTAGTAGTAGTAGTAGTGTAGTAGTGGTAGTAGCCACAGTAGCAGTAGTAGTAGTAGTAGTAGTAGCCACAGTAGCAGTAGTAGTTGTAGTAATAGCAGCAGCAACAACAGTAGTAGTAGTTGTTGTTGTTGTTGTTTTATGATGACAAAAAGAACAAAACCCCGAAAAAATTTTTCCATTAAAAGAGATTAAGTTTCTGTCTTTTTTTCAGCAACATGAACTTCATTACATAAACAATTTACATGTACATACATACATACATACATACATACATACACACATACACACATACATACATACATACATACATACATACATACATACATACATACATACATACATACATACATACATACATACATACATACATACATACATACATACATACATACATACACACAAACATACAAACAAACAAACAAACAAAACCAAAAAACAATCCACAAACACGAACTATGCATAAACATTTTCACATAATTGATAGTAAAACAGAGATGCTAAGACAGCATCCATACATATGTCACATGTATGTATGTATAAACACGTTTATACAAGATATTGTATACATAAGATTGTATGTTAATACAAAAGTTGTAATCACATGATTATATATAAATACAACAGTTGTATGTGTAAATAAATAAAAAACCAAAACACCATTTTATACGAGTCTTATAACCTCACCTCGAATCGAATAACTACATTTCAATATATACAATGAGACGAAAAAAG